CTACAATGGTTTCCTCTGGTCCAGTGTATGTGCGCAGTCTAAAGAGATTGCCATATTACATAGGAGTCGGTTTAGGGAACATTTTTATTTATACATGCATGATTTGTGTAACAATACTTTCTTTACCAAATATTGTGAAAGCGACAACATATATAATACAATATAATCAACTAAACTTGTGCCGTGGTATTTTTTCAATTTGTGCATTTATTGACAATTAAACAATGAACATATATTATTACATCTCACATGGAGGGGAAGGAGGGACACTAAAATAATAATAATTGTAAGACTGGTAGAATTAGATTTCGCACTTGATGAATAATAAACGTTACACAACCCGTTATCTCTTAAAACTATATTTTGGTCTATATTTTAGGTGCTAAAAAAGTATTGTGACATACAAACATATATACTGGAGTATCTTTATTGATTTCTGGTTTTGCGAATAATGATGTTGTATTGATTTCCATTTTGTTAGAAATGTTACAGGAAATTCAGATTTAATTTCTTTAATTGATGTAAAAACCTTAATATTAAGTGGTTGAATAATAGTGTTTCCGTTGCAAAAATGCTAGACAAATTGCTGGATTTAAATATCATTTCAGATCACTGCTCTAAATGGCAGCGTAGAGGCTTATGGCTCTGTGACCTTTGACCCGTCCAGAGTTCTCTACAACTTCCGGCAAGAGGCAAGTCACGATCGCTCTGTTCAGGTCTATATCCGGGGTAGCAACGACTTATTCCTGGCACTGTATAGTACAGCAGATGGCGCTGTTGCTGAAAGTTTTGCAGTTCTAGTTGAGGATGGAAACAAAATAAGGACAGGTTAAAAAAAAACTTTACACATAGTGTGCTGTTGACATGATCTGCTCATTCCGACCATGAATAGATTACGCATTATCTACAATTGAAATAATTGACATTGCCAGCCATCTTTTTGGGACGCCCTTCTTTATGCTGTGTGTAACAAAAAATAATTTCTATTAGTTTTAATCTGAAGATCTTAAAACTCAAAACATAAAACAATAAATGCTAACAAAGAAAACATACATACGCTATGTACTAATTTAAATTCGTGCTTTAATTTAAAAAAGTTTGACAAAATGACTTTGATGTATTATTTGGCCTCAGAAGATCCATTCATTAAAGTAGGCGTTTACGCCTTTTAACATTTAGATAATATATGCCTTCCAATCTAATTGCCAAGTGTGCTTGCCACCTTTCATGAGAGAAAGAGAGAGAGAGAGAGAGAGAGAGAGAGAGAGAGAGAGAGAGAGAGAGAGAGAGAGAGAGAGAGAGAGAGAGAGAGAGAGAGAGTTTCCCCAGGATGAGAAGAACCGTGGCATGCAATTGTTCTACAAATCACTTATGAGAAAGGTGGGAAAAGAATATAAATGTATAGAGAGAGAGCGAATAAATTTATCTGAGGCAATGCAAAAGGATTAAAATGGACAAAGTCGCTAACTTGATAAATTCAGATATTGTTTGTTTTTGATTGCTTATTTTCAAAAATATAATAGAAAGACTTGTGTAATAGAATAACATTGGTTGGTTCAAAAGACACATAACACTAGTAGCAAACTAGATCGAATCGTGGCTACTTTTATGTAGTGACACTGTTAGGAGTTTTTCTATTACTTACATGCATATTATGCTGTGATAAGCAAAGAAACACATGATAAGGTTCAATTTACGTAAGAAAGCATTAGCATCGAAGCGTTAGGAAGTTCTTCAAAAGCTCTAAACAAACTTATCAGGTCTGTAAGGACCATGCTAATAACTCGATACTGATGTTTAAACTACATCGAGTCTTCCGATAAATAAACTTAATCCTATTTTCCAATACCCTTTTGTAACTAAAAGCCTTATGTAATCATAATCTGAAAACCGGTTAATAGTGCAGATTTTATAGACACACGATTTTCCGGATAAACACTGGTTAAATTATTTAGTACTGGTGGCTACTAAGTACGTTTATATTAGGGACAATAAAAGGCAGATAAAGCAATCAACGCTGCCCTGCAGTCACCCGTTTCTTAATGGAAGATTCTATATAAGGACTTCCAATATTGTATACATCAGCAATATATATATATATATATATATATATATATATATATATATATATATATATATATATATATATATATATATATATATATATATATATATATATATATATATTTATATATACACACAAGTATTTCTATCAGTTTTGTGTTGGACAACTTACACCAAAAATCTTTTCAACAAATCTGTTTGGCTTCGACATTTGTTTATATTATTGGCCAACGTCATCGAATTGCAAGTCAGATAGCAGTTTGAAACTAGCATCAGATGACACTCATCTAAGTTGCTCCTACTGTGTTGTAAACGATGACGCCATCAATTCTTTTGAAGCATCTAAATCTTCCTACCTCATCAACAAATATCCGTTTGTCCTTTGCTAAAATTTCTTAATCAATTTTTCGTTAGCATCATACTACCGATAACACCAAGTTCAACCCATTTACTTTTAAACTTCGGTCTTTGCTTTCTTATATTGATGTCTAAAATTATATTGATGTCTAAAATTATATTGATGTCTAAAATTATACTGATGTCTAAAATTAACACATTATTCATCAGTAACATGCTAATTTGTCATGAATGTCTAGGACTTGTGGGTTTCATTAAATTTCATAGACAGTCAATGCAGGCATAAGAATCGTAATTTCTTTATCTGTGTCGAACATGAGGAATAAATCTCTGTAGGTTAAAAATTATTCCACTCACAGGTAAAGATATAGTGCAACTGAAATATTGGCATTTTGTTCCTATGTACAATCAGATTTTCGCAAGTGTGCCATTGATTTATGGAACATTTTCTTTCGAATTGTGCATTATCGTTTGAGTCAATATCGAACAAGTTAATTCAATTGTGAGGTGAGAATCGACTCCTTTTGTGACCTTGAAATCCTGTCGAAGTCTTACGTACCAATTATATTAGTTTTTTGTAATGATAAAACTTGTTTTCCCGTAGATAAACTGCCAGTTCTTCTAGAAATGTTTGCTATGTAAAATTCATTATATTTTTATTACGTTAATCACATGTTACCTTTTCTAAAATTTCATTGGAATACAGATATAAATAAATAATAAATTAAGTAGAATACACTGGATACAAGAAAAGGGTTTTGTGTGAACTTTGCTGAAAATACTTTTTGTATAATAATTCTCATACTGTTAATTTGAATTAGGTGCTGAAGTACTCTGTATCCAAAATGGCATCACAAGAAATTGTTCAGCAAGGGACATTTTTCACAGCCAATTTGCAGTACTTAAATGTAAGTAAGAGAGAGAGAGAGAGAGAGAGAGAGAGAGAGAGAGAGAGAGAGAGAGAGAGAGAGAGAGAGAGAGAGAGAGAGAGAGAGAGAGAGAGAGAGAATGGTTTGTCAGATAGAAGATTAAGTTTTATGTTTTAATACGATCTTAAAGCATATTATGTTTACAAATACCGATTCAATTCTTTAGACTTCAACGATAAATACATTTATATCTCTTCCTTTTGTGTATTGATATTTAAGCTTTTGATTTTGTTCATCATCAACCTAAATCTTTAAGCATACAGGCCTTTACATCAATCGTTTTGATTTCAAGCCTATAAAAGATGTTTTCGCTAGGTATAAACTGTTACACTGCCTTGTGCATACAAGAAAAAAATCTCTACTTGTCAAAGCTTCAGGCGTGTATAGATTTATTTTAATGTTACATTTAGTTAGATCTGAAAGTCAAACGCATGAGCCTTGAGTATGGTTGTCACTGACTATTCCTTTTTATATTATTCTAGTAATTCCAGAATTTCAAAGCCTCTGTCTTCCGGGTCAGGAACTGGCTGTCCTACATCCAAATGAAATACAGAAGTTCTTGTATTGCGATGCCAGCGGCAATGCGTATGAAGTCCTATGTCCGATTTACGAAGTTTACGACATCAATGGAGGCGCTTGCGTTCCAAAGTCCTCACAAAGTTCCCTGATCACAACTACCACTGTTCAGTCTACAACAGGAAATACGATCAAAACCGTAGAACATGTGACAATTATCAGTCAGGTTCCTAACACTAATCAACCTGCCACAACACACGGGCCCATTTTTACACAGGTACCGGATGCTGGACTTACAAATCCATGTACGCCTGAAAACATCGCCCAAAACATGCTGATTTTTCCAAACCCAACGGATAATACCAGTTTTATCAAGTGTGACATGCTACCTGGATCGGGAGCCATTTTAAACTGCCCACCCCATAAAGTTTACTCTCAAGAACTAACAACATGTTTGTATTTTGAAGTAATTGTTGACTCTATTTTGGGAATATACAACACTAATATTCACAATCCATGCGTTCCCGGAAGTAACGAGTACTATTACCCACATCCTTCAGACCCGCATAAGTTCATCCAGTGCGATCAATATGGCGACGCCTACGAGAAAACGTGTCAGCTGAACGAGGTTTGGAATAACGTCATCAAGAGCTGTTACTATCAAGGATTACAATATGTTCCTCCAGTAGTTGGCCGGAAGTAATTTGATTTACCACAGAAGAAATTAATTCAGAAATGAGAATTTTGCAATCTTAAACATGCTAAGTACAGATGTGTAAGGACGATCGAGTTTATATCTGCAAGGAACTGTAGCTGGCTTTCTTCGAAATATTTGAGGACTACATCATGAGACGGAAACCAGGAAAATGAATGAAAATGTTTTCACCATATTCTGTTCTTTTTCTCCGATTTTTACAATCTCTCTCTCTCTCTCTCTCTCTCTCTCTCTCTCTCTCTCTCTCTCTCTCTCTCTCTCTCTCTCTCTCTCTCTCTCTCTCTCTCTCTCTCTCTCTCTCTCTCTCTCAACAAAAATGCTTAGTACACACCCAAGTGCCAACCAGTCCTAACACTAACCTCTTAATGTTGAGCGCCAAGCGAGGCAGCTGTTACTACTATTTTTGTAAGTTTTTGGTATGACTCGACCGAGGATCGAACCCGCGACCCCCCCGCATTCGAGGCGAACGCTCTAACCACTAGGCCACCAGAGCGGTAGTTCACTATTTATATATTGTGGTGCTAAACATACATACATACATACATACATACATACATACATACATACATACATACATACATACATACATACATACATACATACATACATACATACATACATACATACATACATACATACATACATACATACATACATCACTTCTATAGCTCTTTTTGTGATAATGACTTTTCATGCTAAGCATTTTTAAATTCAAATTGTCTACAGTGATAGAAAGCCAAGTTATTTTAGTTTTTGAATCTTGTCTTTAGAAAATCCCTATCTAATCTCTATTATTTTCCAGTACACGCACACTTGCAGTTTGGCCAGGAAATCTGCACTCCATTCAAAACCCCTAATTCACTAGTTTGAAAAAACTGCCAAAAGTTTGAGTTCTTCTTTCTCTTTGTGAATGTGTGAATGCCAAAAATGTCAATGAAAAATATTTTTTTTCCGTTTCAAAACGCGACCCACTAATGTGATTGTTCGTTATTTAGTGTGGCAAGTAAAATGGTACAGTAAATAGCAAAGGATAGCAAATAGTGAAATACTAAGCACGAACAATCGTACCATTGGTGATCCATGTAAAGTGTGCCAATTGTCACGCAAAATACATCACGGAACATTTGGACGTACTATTTTCTGAGAATTTTGCATCGAGGTTTTCAAAAAAAGAAGGATTTTAGTCAACTAAGTCTTCAGTTGACTCTAGTGATATTTTACCTGGAAAAAATGGAAAGCTTTCCTGTTAATATAAGTTGGACCTGTTCTTGAAATTTGAAATTTCTAAAAAAAAAAATATAACATAAAAGAGTAAGTGTCCTGATATTTTTAAAACGTAGGGTTAATATAATTTTCTCCCCACTCTTGCTCCGTCGTAATGACAATTTTATGTTAGTACTATTCTTTTTCCATAGGTAAATATAAATCATGAGTGGAATTGTACGTCATGTGTCTTGTGTTTGGCATTGCAATGTATCACGGAAACATTTCTAGCATTTGAGACCTCTTCTCGAAGAAGAAAATAGCAGCACATTCAAGAAAGGCCTTCAATTTTACAGCATAAGAATAATTTGTATATCATCCACCCTATTCCGCACTATCATTGTATATCTAACACATGCGTTTACGGGAGAAAATTGTAAATATCTATGATATATTTTCTTAGTTGCTTTAAGAGAGAAATATAACAATACTTTATTTTTGTGTTATTTTCTCCCATTCTTGGTTTATGGAAACATTGCAACATTGTAACCTCAAGGTTGGTGCAGCAAAACACGACATCTCTTAAATTTGCCAGAGGTACAAAGCAAATTTGCTTGCAGATAATGAACAATAAACATTTCTAACACAGAATGTATAGTTGTCTTCAAAACATCAAGGTAAACCCACGTTAATGTATCGATGTCCTATTATCACACAAGAAATAACATAACAAAAACTGATGTATTCGTTTGTCATCTCTCTCTCTCTCTCTCTCTCTCTCTCTCTCTCTCTCTCTCTCTCTCTCTCTCTCTCTCTCTCTCTCTCTCTCTCTCTCAAAACATTCGTCTAAAAACTAAAGTACCATCACTCAGCGCAGCAAGAATTTCATACGCATGCGTGTTTCGACATGTCGATATTTGTTAATTCTAACTTACAATCCTTACCCATCCCACTTTAACCACATACCTTTTTTACCCCTAAACCTCTTTGCCCCATTAAGCCATTTTGCCCAATAATCCTTTTATTTATCAATCCCCATCAACCCTTTCGCCCCATCAATATATGCTGATGTTCAAGCTATGGACAAATGTAACATACGATTTCAACTTGAGGCTGCCAACCTTTCTTGAGGCTCAAGTTGCACATGTTACGACTAATTATTTGGCAACAATCTTTATACAACGGAAAAGGATAGGAACTAATTTATTATTGGCACAAAAGGATTCACAAACATCCCGTTACCATTAGCTCCATTATGACTACAATTAAACTAAATCTACCTGAAAACTTTTTCCGGAGTTCTAAACCTTGTGCCTATTATTTAAGGAATTATTTATGTTTTTTAATGGCAAGGAACCTATAAGCTGAAGAAACATGTTTTCAGTCCTTTGCCCTGTCGTAACACTTGTGAATATCTTGGCAATTAAATATGTTGAAACAAAACACAACTTAGTAACGTTCAAAATAAATGAAACTAGAATACAATACACCACAATACAATACAATACAATACAATACAATACAATACAATACAATACAATACAATACAATACAATACAATACAATACAATACAATACAACACAATGCAACACAATACAACACAATACAATAATATACACACTTCATCAATGTTATGAGTAACTGGGATGATGAATAGTTGAATATGATTGGCTTGATTTTAACGCCCATGGGAACTTTGCCCAAACTGCTTTTCTTAAAGCAAAACTGAAAGAAAATGTCGATTCCCGATTTTTGTAAAATAAAGTAGTCGCATTTTTCAGTCGCCAAAGTTAGTTTATTTACAAACGTCTTTCAGACTTCCATTTTTGTACGAATTATCTGAAGTAGGACACATTAATCATAAAGTAATAAAATCGTCAAGGAGTCAGGTGCACTCCCTGACGAACTCCTTTCTGGAATGTTATCGCCATGCTTGCGGGGTGTAAATTCAATTGGTTACCAGATGAATAAATTGCTCCACTCCTGCATTTAAACAGGATCAACTGCATTCTAGACGCATACAGCTGGAATGAGGACAATATGTTTAGTTGTCATTTTGGGATGTCTGTTTCCCACAATATTTGGAGCACACCTGGCGTTGACGCCACAGGCCTACGGTAGTGAAGTAGTAGAGGCTGTTATTAACCTCATCAGAAAGAATTGCATTTTTGCGGAGGATAGACGTTATCTAAGGCGTTTGGCTTACGTCGAATCGCATGACGGGTCAGATCCTAAAACATACAGAAGTGGATATCACGGCGGGATATGGCAGGTTAACTTGAGAGTTGTCTGTCTGTCTATCTATCTGTCTGTCTGTATCTCTGCATATATATAACTATATATATATATATATAACTATATATATATATATATATATAAATATATAAATATATAAATATATATAAATAAATATATATATATAAATAAATATATATATATATATAGTTATATATATATAGTTATATATATATAGTTATATATATATATATATAGTTATATATATATATAGTTATATATATAGGTATATATATATAGTTATATATATATATATATATATATATATATATATATATATATATATATATATATAACTATATATATATAACTATATATATACATATATATATATATATATATATATATATATATATATATATATATATATATATATACATATATATATATATATATATACACTCTCTCTCTCTCTCTCTCTCTCTCTCTCTGTGACAAATTAACGCACACACGGAAAGCAATAATCACGGAGAGTAAAAAAACGAATTTCAAAGAAGAAATTAAACAAGTCCCACTGATTGTAATGAAATTTTTTTTATTGTAAATATTGTTATCATCATCATCATAATCGTCAATATTAATTGTACAATCACTAGCCCCATTAAGTAACCACATTCATTTAAAATAAAATGTATAATCCAAATCTATATATTAAAATTTTTTATCGTACTATCGAATGTTATCATAAATGTTTTAATTGTCCTTTTTTAAAAACATTTATAACATAATTTTCCTACCATTCGTGTTTGTAAAGTCAATACTTATATATATATATATATATATATATATATATATATATATATATATATATATATAAAAATAATAATAATAATAATAATAATAATAATAATAATAATAATAATAATAATAATAATTAATCAGTTTACATTACACTGGAACAGAAATTGTTATTTTAAGACCCCCAAAAACCAATGCAGGTAATTTAAAGTGTTAATTACATATTATAAATCATCTTGCCTATAAATATCATAAATTTCAATTGCAAGGTTCAACCCGGGTATGGATTAGGTTCTTTCTCTATTACTCTGTTTACTCTTCAACTATTGTTGTTTTATTACAAAAAGGCTCTAACCAAACACCAGTTAACAGTCTGGCTATTTGTATCATATATAGTATACCATTAACGTACTTTCCTTACCTGATGTATTAAAAATGTGATAAGGACCTTCCGGTATGTTACTGCATGCAAGTCACGCACTGCTGGCGGAAAGTTATATAATGCTAAATTCCAAAGGAATAATACCACAATTTCTGCATGGTAATGAAAGGCTCCGCAACACGTTACGGACCTCGCAATACGCCTTTATTATGGAGAGAACTCGGCAATAAATAGCCATAAGGGCCCTAATCATTCATCAGTACGGATTAATTATCTCACATCACCACTAAAGAGTGGCAATAAATTGTGACACACACACCCATAAAACTGAATTCTGGGCCAGTTCGATAAATTTCACCTATCCGATGAGGATTGTACCCCTCTCCACATCTACCCATTACCCCACAATGCACTTGATTGGCTTGCTTGGACGGTTGCTACGTCACTGCTCACAATTTACAATTTTGTGTGTTATGCATAGATGAGTGCCATCTGATACAAAACACACGATTTACTCAATTTGCTTATAAAGAAATAAATTATTCATGAAAACTACATCCGTCAATGGTAAAGGTAACCTTGTCCGTTGTACCGATATTATCTTATGAATTCATGAAAATAATATAATGGCATCATATATGCAAAAAAATGGAAGGTTAGTAGTTTTCATAAGTATAGATGTAGTCAGTTCCCTGCCTACTCGTGCATTATCACAAACCTTAGTTTTCTGCAGGTGGATGAAGACAAGTTCACAGAAACGCAGAACAATTGCAAACTCCAAGCGAAATATGATATAATTCGGAATGTCTTCGGCATCGACTGGTCAAGGGTGACTTGGTACGACCTTCGCAAGCCGCTGTATTCTGGCCTCGCTG